TATGAACGAGATCTGCCGATCATAGATTAAAATTGTACTTATTTCTTCTTCAATTTTTTATTTTTTTATTTTTTTAAAGATTTCCCACTCTTTGAAACTGACTATAAGTATTTTTCCTTTTAAGAAATTGCTGGGTTTATAATTAAGATTAATTACATCAATTATTTACATGAAAACATGTGCCAGAATTCTGAGAGAATATATTCCTATGATGCTTGGAGAACACTGCTTGATGAGTGTATGTTTAGTATGGAAATGGAAATATCAGTCAAAAAATTAGTTGCTTTCCAGAAGCTAATTATTTTGTCCCCACAATATGTTTGCCTTTGTTTCTCCAATATTCAAAAAATTGAGTTTTTTGTAAGATAAGTTTGTAAGGTTGGATCACGTGTCAATATTTGGGTTGGATTTGTATGCAGCTCTAACATTATTTTAGAGCTCATATTGAAAAAATTGGATAATAACAAAAATTTATTGATTTTCTTAAAAATCAACTGTTCCTCTCGATTCCTACCTTAATTCGTTACTTAGAACTGTCTATCGACTCAGGACTGGAGCCAATGACAGAAAACAATATGATAGAAGTATGCAATACATATTGAAAAATTTTACACGCTTTGCCTCTTTGACTGTTGAGGGATAATCTATACAGCATATTCAATACACTGAAATTTTAATGAATTGGTATCAGCCTACTCTTAGAGCTGCTAGCTCTATGGATTTGTTGTCTGTAGTTTTCTCATTTCTAAATCTTAAAATAGTACAGTAGTAAAAATCCTAGTAGCAGGATTATGTATAGAAAGGGAAAAAATATATTTTTTTCCAATAAACTTCATATTTATATTATGATGAAAACTACCCTGCTTTTCAAGCCTCTGGTTTAGGGAACTTGAAGGAAATTTGTTGTTCCTTGGTTTTTTTGGTTTTACAAGTACCATTCTTAAAATGCATGTCAATCTTTTAGGTACTCGATGCGTTGGTCAGTCTTCTCTGCAGGTCAAACATCTCTGCTGAAACATTATGGGATGGTGGTTGGCTTTTGCGCCAGTTGCTACCTCATAGCAAGGCGGAGTTTAAGAACCATCATGCTAGATTACTCAAAGTAAGTAAATATTAGTGTTTTAAGTGTTGCTGGAGCATAATTAAGCTTCTTGATGACAATATGTCTCCGTGAATTACCATATTTGTTCATGAAGATTTTGTTGTTTCTATTTGTATGATTCTCCATGCATATCATGGTTGTATTGGTATCTGACTAAAGAAAATCCTCTGGCCATTTTGAAGTGTGTATGCAAATTAATCTTCTCTATCCTTAACTCTTTTTTTTTCCCTCGGATTTCTTTCTCAGTTCTTACACCTTTTTAGAATCTAGTTCTATGGCAAGCTGTTTTATCTTTATGGAATAACTTGGTAGTCCTTCTTATGCTTAGGATTCATTCCATAATTGTACCCATCGTCTTTTAGAGGAGACAAGGGGAACTTGGCCAGATATGTTAGTTACTGTTCTTTGTGATGAGTGGAGAAAGTGCAAAAGAGGTATGTCATTATACCTGTTTAATTCATGAAAGACTTTTGTTATGGGGTTTTATTGCATATTTTTAATAACAAAGTATTAAATGTAGTAATTGAGGCATCTTCTCTTCGAAAAGATCCAATGTGTATGCTCTTGCCACCATACAAATCTGCTTCAGAAGGTATGATTTCATTGCCTCCATTTATCCCTTTCTCTCACTACACATATAGTCTGTACTGGTTTTTAAGACTTTAGATAGGTTGAAGGACATTAGTAGGAATTCTGATATCCACGTTTGTTGGTTTTTGTTCTAAGAACTCATCTTACTTTTGTCGTCTTGGCAGAGCTGGTTTCCAGTGAATCATCCTTTATTGCTGGTGAAAGAATGTGCGAGACAGTGAAGGTTGTGCTCGAGCAGTACTTTCATTTTATTGTCTTTCCAGATGATACGAAACATGGGACATTTTGTGGACATGACTTGACATGCTTAATTTAACAATAAAACTTCTAAAAAACAGCATCATCTATCATATACTAGTATAATTTATAGGTATGACATGTTAAAGTGTATTTTCATTTTCAGTACCATCAGTTCCTCTTCTAATAATTGCTCACTTTCCTGTAGGTTTTTGTACTCCTTCATCATCTCCACATTTTCTCGCTTGGCAGAATTTTGTTAGATCAACCTCCTCTTTTCTCTCAAGTTGACATTCCAGAGGAAACCCGAGCAAAGAATGCTGGTGTAAATCCATCAGGACCAAAACCAGGCAATGAAATAAATCTTGGTAATTCAATTTTGATGTTAATATTTATTGGTTAAAGCTTGATGGACTTTAAGTTATTGTATCTCTTTTTTGTACTGCGTAATATCAATTGGCATCATATGCTTATCTGCACAAACATGTAGAAAGATTTTGATTTTTAACTTGCTTTGGCTGCATAATGTAGTGGATGCAGTGCCTTGTCGAATTGCATTTGAGAGGGGAAAAGAACGCCATTTTTACTTTCTATCAATCTCTATGGGAAGCTCTGGGTGGGTTGTCCTTGCTGAGGAGCTGGTTACAAAACCACAATACGGAGTCATCCGGGTTGCAGCCCCATTGGCTGGGTGTAATGTGAGTATTGCTTTATTCGAAATATTTCACCCGACTAGCTCTACTTATGAGATTCCGTTTGTCTTTACGGTCTTTGAGTTGAAGTAACCGTTGGTGAAATTAATCATGCGTAATAAAACAACAAAAATAATCAAATGGTTAAATTCTGAAGTCAAGGAATTGTGTCCATAGTAACATACTTGATACTTCCTCTTAAGATGTCGTAAACAATGTCTTACATAGCATCCCAAACATTTGTTTTGTTGTTGACGCTTCATTAAAAAGCAAACATCCTTTATTGTCTAATATATTACATAAACTGAACTACAATGCTAGCTGTCTAATTTAGTTAATCCTTTATTTTACCCTTCAGCCCAGGATAGATGATAAGCATCGTAGATGGTTGCACCTCCGAATTCGTCCATCGTTGTTCTCCTTCACTGATGCTGCTAAGCATTCTTCACATGAGAAAGCTAAATCGAGAGCTTTGGTTGATGGAAGGTGGACTCTGGCATTCCGGGATGAGGAATCTTGCAAGGTTGCTTTGACAATGATTCTTGAAGAGATCAGATTACAGAGCCATGAAGTGGAGAGAAGACTGAAACCTTTGCTCGAATTTGAAAAAGATTTAGAATCTTCAAATCCTACTCAGCCTATGGATGATAATACTTCATGAGAATCGTTGGCATATTTTTACCAGTGAGCTTCCTTCTTATTTTATATATTTTTTTCCCCATAACATAATTTGTACACGAGGTGGAAATTTCTTCCAACCACCCATTTGTACATGTCCAAAAGGAAATCCTAGGTATATAGAAGTAAACCATTCAACCAGTGTCATTCTTTGTATATATAAGGTAGCCCCTTTTAGCTCTTGGATGTGTAGATTTTCTATCCACTGCTTCCCTTTCATATTCCACTTAGCAGTTGCCATGTTATTCTTACCCTTCCAAACGTTTTGGCAGTTTTAAGTGTGCTTTTGCTTTTGTGCTCATTTGTGAGCTTTGTAAAATTTTGCTCCTCATATTGGGCTAATGCAAGTGAAATTTCATCCTTTTGTCTATCTTCCTTGGTCCAAATCTTAGTTCTAGAGAATGATCCACCTTAATTACAAACGTGTCTTTATTCTTTTATAAATGTGGTTATTCCTTTGAAGCCAGAGGTGCTAGCATGGGATTTACATTCCGACTTTCTGGTCATATAAACGAGTGGGCGTCTGAGTTAGTTGGCTTCCCTTTCTTTCGTGATAGAGTGAGTAGGATTCCCAATTTATAAACATGATTTGTGGACCATTTTCTCAAGTCACAACAAGCTGTTGACCGGACTTGTAACTTCAACCCCTCTTCAATTGAAAATGCACATGATTCGTATGTGACAAAAGTTTCATTACTACGAAGATCATGTGGTTCGTTCGTATGATAGTAGGATCGAAGATGCTATTTGTTCGAGAGAGATTACATGGGTTGCAAGTATAAGAAGTGAATTTGCAAGACAAAAATAATTAACAGCTTCATGCTTCCAACAATTTTACATGACGTAATTAATTGTAATATTTTGTAACATTAGCATCAAAGGTACAAAAAATAAAAAAAGAAAAGAAAAAGAAAACATGAATGAAATAATTTCAGAAATATCTACTTTTGTTAATTTATTAAATGCCTCCTTTTACAATTTTTCAAGAAATATTTAATTATAAATCAATATTTACATTTACTTCCTTTCATCGTTTTTTAAAAATATTCATTTTAATTTAAAATCAAATTTTCATTTTTATTGAAAATCAACATTTTTACGAATTATAACATATGTATTTTTGTTTTACCTGTTGACTTATCAACATTTGATACGGATGTGTTACTTTTTAGTAAGAAATTATTATAGCACAAGCAACATGCGTGTCCCCAAATTTTATTTTTCATTAAAAATCATCGCTATATGTTGTATTGTTGGAAAATTAACGTTTTATAGTGATACCATTTAAAAAGTTCACCTTTTTAACCTAGGGTGAGCATGTTCATTTTGATTGGTTTATAAACTATTTTCATGCTAAATCATTTTAAACGGTTTAGAAAAAAAATTCAAACCGAACCATTCTTGCGGTTTTATTTGATTTCATACCACGATTTTAACGACAAAAAATAACATCTTTCAAACAAGTGAGTTGTCTGAAATTTCATTTTCATGATGATCAAATTATATTACAGAATTCTGTTTCTTTTCAACATCATGGTTACAGACATTCAATGAGATCAATTTACCATTTAATCACACTAGTGGCACTTGATTCTCGCACTTGAACTTCAAAGTATCGTATCCTGGAAATACATCAAAAAACCTACACCCAATTCATTGGCCGTGTTACGTTTTCAGTACCTAATACATGTCTGTTACTATCATCTCTCCCAAAGGATTTGCTCATCAATTTTGCTCAGCATCCCATCATCGAGTCGCTTCCATGTCTTGATCTTCTCTACTCCATTCCATGACTTCTCCCCTTTACCGAGTTCTGCCAAAATGACTCTTGCCCTCCTTGGCCACCCGGCAACACCATAACCGTGATATCCAAACCCTCCTCCATAACAAAACCAAATGCCATCTAGATTTCCACAGAAGTCATTCTTGTGATCATGACCTATGAACACAGCCTTTACGTCTCCCATAGAGACAAGTGTCTTCAGGACTCCAGAGTTTACAAATGAACAAGCTACATATTCCCTGTACTGGCCAACAATATCCTTAAAAGGTCCTTGTTTAATTTCTGGAATGGGAATGTGGAAGAATGTCAATGCAGGGGAGACAGTGGAATATTTAGATGTTTTGGCTGGTTCTTTAATATCCTGCTTTTGTTCCTGGTAGTTTGTGAGCTGCAACATGTTAATAAGTCCGAATCTGCATAGAGCTTCGTCATGCAAGTTAAAATGCATGGACAGAGATAAAAAAGAGTACTCTTTGTACACAAAACTTAGGCATTCCTATCGAAACTTGTTTTGCAGCATTTCAAGAGAAGAAATACAGAAAACTTATCAAGTAGTTCCCTAGAGTTGTGGAGAAGGAAATAAAATAACAACAAACTAAGAGATAATCCCTAAATATGAGGTTGCTACATGAGACCTTTTTCACCAATAAACTAAGATCTACTGCTATTAAAATGTCTAATGAAATCGGTCTTTCTCCAACTACACCAGACTTGTTAATTTTGGTAGGCTCTCCTTCTGTAACATCTTCTATACATAACACATTGATCTTGTGATAACGTATTATAGTCAAAGCAATCACTTTATAGGATAACATAATCATATAGCGACAAATGTTGGTGCAAAGGATGTGAATAGGAGTGGGCGCGATATGGTTCAGTCCGGTTCCGAAAAGAACCGTATCGAACCGAGTACCAAGGAAAGTCTTAATAATGGAACCATTGGATCTATATCTAACTATGGAACCGAACCAATCGGTTCTGATTCTGGTTCGGTCTGGTCCGGTCCGGTCCGATTCTTTACATTGAAATATGTAAACAAAGTGTTCACCAATCACAAATTCGAAAGACGTTGTCGGCTATTAAACGATATCACATGTCAAATATACTCAATAAAAGATTTGATGTCCCTCTTTGTGAGATGTTCTCTCATTAAATAGGACTAAAATAACAACTAAATAGGGAAACAATCAATTACAATATTAATTAATGGTAAAAATAATCTATCTATATCTAATACAATGATAATAATATAATCGTAATCTTCGATGAT